TAGTTTGCATATCAATTCTATGCATCCGAAGAAGTGGGCTGTAGTCCACGAAAGCTTATGCTCTAATAAATTTGTTAGTCTCTAAGGTGCCACAAGTCCTCCTGTTCTTCTTTTTGCGGATACAGACTAACACGGCTGCTACTCTGAAATTTTACATAGGAACATAAGAGCAGCCATACTGGATCAGATCAACGGTCCATCTGGCCCAATATTTTGACTCCAACAGTATCCAGTAGTATCAGAGCTTCAGGGAGTATGGACAGAACAGGGGACTTTAGAGCAATCCACCCCTGTCTTCCCCTCCTAGTTTCTGGCAGTCAAACATTTAGGGTGGCCCTAAGCATGGTGTTGCATCCATGACCATCTTGGCAAATAGCAATTGATGGACCAGTTGACCATGAATTAAGGTAATTATTTTCTGAACCCAGTAATACTTTTGGCTTCACAACATCCATAGCAATGAGTTCCACAAGTTAACTGAACATTGTGTGAAAAAGGACTTCCTCTTGTTTCATTAAACCTGTTGCCTATTAATTTCATTGGGTGAGTTCTGATTGCTGTATTATGGGAAAGGGTAAACAACACGTCTGTATTCACTATTTTAGGGCCATATCCTGGCATCACTGGAGTCAGATAGCATTTTCAGACATAGTAGTGTTCTTAGTTTACTATAAACCATACTTTCTGCAATAAAATGCTGTATGCAATCTGTATGGACAAAGTGCATCTCTAGCAATCAAGTTTAACTTCTTAAAATGAAAAAAATTGCTCATAAAAAGAACAAAAGCCAATCAGTCTGATACATTCAAATGAGTTTGCCTTTAAAGTTAGAGAGCTGGACAGGTTGTTTAGCATTAGTAGTAATGGTTGCAAAGAGAAAATAGCAGGGTTAGAGACTGCAGCGATAAGAGCAGTTATGGTTACTCTGGGCCCATTCATGAGAGGTGCTGAGCACTGCAATGCAATGCAATGCATTCCCTCAGCTGCCGCTGACCATGGAGGAAGTTTAAGGTGTTATCCACTTTGTCTGTTCCTGAGAGCTGCTCCCATTAACTACCCCCATTAACTGTGATTGCAGGTCCTCAGTAGATGCACAGGATCAGGCCCTCTACGGATCAGGCCCACTGTAACTAATGCCTCTTCCCCTAACCCTCCGTAAGAACCAAAGAGTTCTTAATAAGCCAGGAATGATAGCGTTGCACAGCAGCAGGGCCAGATTAAGGCAGGGGCTCTAGGGGGTGCAGCCCAGGGCCCTGGCTCAAGGGGGACCCGCAAAAATAAATCACAGGAAGCAATCTCCGGGCCACTAAAAGGGGCGCTCAGG